ATCCCCAAAAAGATAACTGCCCGAGAAGCATGGGAAAAGTTGGAGAAGGTTTATATGGGCAAAACCGTGTCCAATAAACTTTTTCTAAAGGATGAACTATTCGGACTTCGACTGGAAGAAGGAGGTGATATTGAAGATCACGTATGCAGGTTCCAAAATTGCATAACTAATCTTCAAAAGGTCAAAGAAACTTACAAAGATGATGATATGGCTATCATCTTGCTGAGGTCTCTACCTTCGTCTTTCAAGCACTTTCGAACAACTCTAATGTTTGGAAAAGAGTCCCTGAAGCTTGAAGACGTAATTCAAGCTCTTCAGTCATATGCTAAACTAGATGATATAACTGAAAGCTCTCAAGGCCTTTATGCCAAAGGCAAGGAGAGGGGGCGGGAAAAGACAAAGGAAGAGAAAACAGGCACCAGAGGTAGGTCAAAATCCAAGAAGAAAAAAGAAAAGAAGGAAGGTTGCTTCGAATGTGGTTCAGCCGATCATTGGAAGAGGAACTGCAAGATTTGGAAAGAGAAGAAAGCCAAGAGGGAAGGAAGCTCAGGTTCAGCTAGTGCAGTCACCGAGCATGAGAGTGACGGGGAGCTTCTTTCAGTAACATCAGGCTCCAAGGCTTTCACAAATTGGATTTTGGATACCGGATGCACTTTTCATATGTGTGCAGTAAGAGAATGGTTTGATACTTACAAAGAAGTCAGCAGCGAGGAAGTTTTAATGGGGGACGATTCCTCATGTCCTGTAAAAGGAATTGGCACTGTTCGAATCAGAATGTTTGATGGGATGATACGAGTTTTGGGGAATGTTAGATATGTCCCTAGACTAAGAAAGAATTTGATTTCCTTAGGTACTTGGGTACGAGTCTAAAAAGGAAAGACTCAGGGTAGCCAAAGGATCACTGGTGGTAATGCGGGGTGACCTACAACCCAATAAGCTGTATAAGTTAATTGGGACCACTATAGTCAAGGGAGCAGCTGTTTCTGTAAATCAAGGTATAGAAGACAAGATTGAACTCTGGCATCATAGGCTCGGGCACATAAGCCAGAAAGGGTTGCAAGAATTACACAAGAAAGGCCTATTGGAAGGCGTGTCATCTGTCATCACGAGTAACAGTGCAGATAACCGAAGCAAGGAGCAACTCAGCTATATTCACTCAGATGCTTAGGGCCATGCACCAACCAAATCAAATGGTGGAGCCAGGTATTTTGTTACTTTCATGGATGATTTTTCTAGGAAGGTTTGGGTTTATTTCATGAAGCAGAAATCCGAGGTTTTTGCAAAGTTCAAGGAATGGAAAATAGAAACCGAGAATCAAACTGAAAGAAAGATCAAGTACCTGAGAAGTGACAATGGAGGTGAATATACAAGTAATGAGTTTACCAATTATTGCAAGAAGGAAGGCATCATAAAGCACTTCACAGTAAAGAAGAATCCCCAAAAAAATGGAGCTACTGAGATGATGAATTGAACTCTCATGGAGAGAGAGAGAGATAGAGGAGCATCCGATTTCATGCAGGATTGCCTGATAGTTTTTGGGCAGAGGCTGTTAATCATGCAAGTTATTTGATTAACAGATCACCATATACAGTTCTTGGTTTTAAGAGTGCAGAAGAGGTATGGTCTGAGAAGCTAATGGACTATTCCAAGCTTAGGGTATTCGGCTGTAGTGCTTACGCACATATTCCAAGTGATGAAAGGTCCAAGCTCAAACCAAAGTCTACACATTGCATATTCTTAGGTTTTGAGAAATGAGTGAAGGGTTTCAAGCTTTGGGATATCAACAACAGGAAAAAGGTTGTCAGCCGAGATGTTGTCTTTGATGAAACAACCATGTCTCTGAATAAAGTCAAGAGAAGTAGGGAGAAGAAAGACGATGCTGAAATTGAAGCAACAAAGATTTCATTAATCAGCTCAGACGAAGAAGCTCAGGTGGAGCAAATTGAGCAAGATGCTAAATCTGATGGTGTTGAGGAAAAAGAAGAGCATCAGCATCGTTCACTAGTTAGGAATTAGGTGGAGCAAGAAACAGGGCAGATTGAGGGCACTTTAATCCGCCAGACATCCCAAAGGGTTCGAACACCAACCAACAATCCACCTGCATTCCAGAAATGCATAGCACTGGACAAACCTAATCGAAACAAGAAGAAACTTGATAGGTTTGGGTTAAACCAAGACGAAGTTAATTATGCTCTCAACATTAGTCAAAGAGATCCAACTACTTATCGAGAAGCTATAGCAAGTGATGGGCGAGATAGTTGGATAAGTGCTATGACAGAAGAAATGGAGTCTCTTTACAAGAACTCTGTTTGGGAGTTGGTTCCTAAGCCCAAAGACAGAAAGCTAGTTGGATGCAAGTGAGTCTTTAGGAAAAAGGAAAGGGGTGGATTATGATGAGATCTTTTCACCCGTAGTCAAGCATACTTCTGTTAGATTGCTTTTAGCAATGGCAACTTAGCATGACATGGAGATTGAGCAGATGCATGTGAAGACAGCGTTTCTTCATGGGGATCTAGAGGAGACAATTTTCATGGCTCAACCAGAAGGGTTTGTTGAATATGGGAAAGATAACCTAGTATGTTAGCTAAGGAAGTCCCTGTATGGCCTGAAACAGTCTCCAAGACAGTGGTACAAGAGGTTCAATTACTTCATGCCAAAAATCAATTTTAGAAGATGTTTACATAACTGTTGTGTGTACTATCATGTGTTCTAAGATGGGATGATCATATTGCTATTGCTATATGCGGATGCCGATTATGCAGGGGACTTGGACAAGAGAAGGTCAACTTCTGCTTATGTGCTTACATGTGCAGGAGGACCGATCAGTTGGAGGTCACTACTGCAACCAATTACAGCTTTGTCGACCACAGAGGCAAAGTATATTGCATTGGCCGAAGCTGGAAAGGAAGCAATTTGGCTCAGTGGCTTGGTAAGTCAAATGGGAATCACCCAAGATTGTGTGAAGCTGAAGTGTGATAGTCAAAGTGCCATTCATTTGGCAAAGAATCAAGTTTTTTCTAGAAGATCAAAGCACATTGAAGCAAGATATCACAGAATCAGAAATTGGGTGGAGTCTAAGGAGATTTGGATTGAAAAGATTCATACGAATGACAATGCCGTAGATTTCCTTACAAAGATAGTGCCGGCCAAGAAGTTCAAGCATTGCTTGAACTTGATCAATCTCGTTGATTGATTAAAGTGGAGCACCTCCTCACTTGAGGTGCAATGAGGCAAGAAGAAGATTGCCAAGGTGAAGACTCTTGAAGATTTCCAAAGCTGCTTCAAGGAGGTTCAAAGATACTCTGGGGTGCACCGATCAAGACTTGGTTTGACTCACCAAGGTGGAGATTGTTAGGATTTTGGCTCGTCAAATATGTCCTAGTTGGTTTAGAATTGTTTTTGGAAAATTTGAGGTATACCAATTCTTGTCCTAGGGGATTAGGAAAGAATTTCAGTTTTCCTTATTCATTTTAGGTTTGGATTTCTAGAAGTCTATTAGGATTTGGATAAGTGTAATTTTCTAATCCACTTAGAAATAGGAATTCAATTAGCCTTGGGACATGTAAGCCAACTCTATATCTATAAATAGGGTGCGGCAAGGCTTATTTTAGAGGGGGAAAAACAGACAGAGACACCGAGAGTTTTGATATTAGTTCTAGGGTTGCAAAAGTTCTGTAATCTCTATTATTAATCAAAGGAGCGGTGATTTCTCTACTTAGAGAAATCACAACTGGACGTTGGCAAAAGTTCTGCCGAACCAGTATAATTATTGTGTGTTTCTAAGTGTTTTAATATTTGCTAGTTTAGTCTATTATCGTTGGTTACATCAAAGAACAAGATCTAGTGTGTGGGTTATTTAACATTGGATGCCATGCAGGCTCCCTCCCTGCTTCCATGGCCGCTTTCTGTATTCTGGTAATTTTATTTTGAGCTTACCTTATTTCTTGTTCTAAATTTCCCATATCTTGTGGTAAAATCCAATATGCTCTAGCAAGGGTGCAAGATTATTTAGAAATTGGAACTCTAGGGCCTTGAGATTGAAATTTCTAAAAGGGTTGTATGCTCCACATTCAGACTTTTTGAAGCTAATTACATTTGCAGGAACTATGGACAAGACATTACATCTCATTGACATATATAACACACAATAACAATCTAGTATAAATAAAATCGTTCTGTTGATTTTTCAATCGTACATATAATTCTCATCCTTGTATACAATCGATGAGAACTGTCGGTAGTGTTTAAAGCATTCAAGGAAACAAATATCTAGTACATCTTGTTTTATTGCAAAGACACACACACATATATAGAACCTTTCGTTTCAGCAAGTAAAAATATATACTGTTAATGATTCTTGCAGCTGTTGTGGCAGGCTCCAAAGTAGCTTTCCACTTGAGCCATACCTGTCACATAGAGAATAACAATGATTAAATTCAATTAACTTTACGTCTAGCTCAGATCATATACTTTTGATTATGGGTTCCTGCATCTTTCCATATTGTACATAATTAAGTTTATATCAATCCCATGATATACATTTTCATATTTGTGTAAGGAATCTCAGTGAGGTTCACATGTTTAAAGTCATTATTGCTATATGTTATTTCACACACGAATACAATCCTTATGTAACTTGCAAGGGTGGGCATGGTGCGGTTTGGTTTCATTTAGGACTCAAACCGTAAACTGAATCATTGTAACATAACAGTTCGGATTAGTTTGGAGCAGGGCTCAAAATAGTAGCATAACCAAACAGTCCATTTAGTGACTAGTTGAGTCAGTCATTATACCCTTGCAACTAAGCAAATATTCTATCTTCTTTTACTTATATCAAAGGGAACTCAATTGAACTAGAGTTGAGAAAACATTTTATCATAGAAGACACAGAAATTTTGAAAGATGTCTAGAGAAAGAAGAGGCCTAGTGAAGCTTACCAGTTGCGAACTGGGTGCTCAACGACTTTGTACAACCAAATGTACAACTGTAGACACCATCCACTAGAGTTCTAATGCAGGGCTCCATGCATGTAGTTGTGCATTTTGAGTAGACTCGCGATACTCTGATGATTCCTTCATGCATCTGCACACACCGTTCCCGCAAGCATAAACTTTCTTATTTATCGGACTCATAGGAGTCTGATCAGGAGATGGTGCAGGAGCTGAAACTGGGAAGTCACTTATTCTGTCATCATTATCATCAGCATCAGCTAGAACACTTGTTGCCAAACATGCTATTAACACTACCAGTATCACCAAACCTCTTGGTACAACCATTCCACCCATTTGCTCCCAACTCAAGTTCTATACATTTTGAAACTTAATGTTGTGTTGTCATTTTGAATAGCCTTATATTTCAGAGCAGTTTAACACATGAAAATGTTCATTTATATGCGCCAAAAGTAATTTGTTTTTAAAAAAGGGGTGCCAAGATATTGCTACCAATAATATTTTAAACAAATATATATTTCTTATCTTGTTCACGTGACTATCCTTTTTAATTTTTATTGCTTGGGATATAAAACTTTATTGATTTCATATCCCTATTGCAGGTGATGGCGAACAAAGACTTCAATGCAAAGACTCATTCCTTGAATTGATATAAAAGTTGTCATTTAAGCATATTCAATTGGCAAATTATGCGTGCATGCCGTCATGATTCTTGACGAAATTGTTTCTTGCTAATTAGTTTTGCTTTTTTTCTTTTGGACTGAACCAATTTTAAGTCTGTCAATCATATGAAGAGACAAATTGGTATGTCAAGGATAGTTGAAAGGAGAACGATCCAAAAGTGCAAATTGCGTGTAAAAAACTGCAATTGTATTTGTGTCCTCTGAATCTAAACACTTAGGACAGTATGATAAATGGAGGAGGGAAGCTCTTACATCATTCTATGTCGCAAATGTAGAAAAATAAATTTACAGTACTTCAGGCAAGTTCCTACATCCCAATTATATTGTTAAAAAATTAGGGAGAAGACAAACAGCAAGAGCTAAACATCATCTACAACAATTTATGGCACCTGTTCGGGTTGTCATCTCGATATCCTCTATGATGGTCCGTCTTCGTGAGGCAATTCTAGATGACAAGTGATGAAAATCTGGTCATGAAATTAGAATTGAAAGTTTGAATAAAGAAGAATATCTACTCGATTTTCAGTGAGGATCTCCTGATTTTGAAAACATAGCTAACCATAAGAGAATTTGCTAGTAATATGCAGCAGACAAACACGATACTCACCTCTGTAAGCAATCTTCCCATGCCTTTCTCACATGATCATACACTGATAAGTACTTTAAAACCGTTTCAAATCCAGACCCCTTGTCGTAGGCCCTAAACTCGAAGTTATCAATTGTATAATTTAGAGGACAACGCAATAAGATTGGGCATTAAGGACCATCTAAATACTTTTTCCTTCCATGTCCTTTTCCCTTGAGGATAGACCATATTTGAACCTCAAAATTCCTGATTTGAAAATCATATACTAACACAATTTTAGTAAGTTCCCCACATGGCATAATAAATGGTATCATCATTTTGAAGTATCATTGTCTGCCTGCCATGGTCAAGTTTTCAGTCTAAAAACAAATTTGACCAATTAACTCTGCTAGGCATGATTCCTGTCTCAAAACCAGTCTTTCCTAGGATCGATCCCCATAACACAAGGTTTGCAATCACCAACAGTCTCTGCAAGAACACAAGCCATCCTTAAAATTTATGTTTCTTCTAAACTTTATGTTTCAAGTGCTGCTCTGTTTATTGTAGTTTGTACTTTATGATTGAATCCTGGTCCACCATTTAGAACATTGATTTGTGTTAACATAAGTTCCTTTCTTGTCTAAAGAAGAAAAAAACTGACTGGGAACTGAAACTTTGTAATGTGTTTTTCATATCGTTAACCTGAATGTTATGATTTCTTTCTTCATTTTTATGGTGAAATTATATTATGGTTATAATAACCTGAACGGTTATTATAACCGTTCCAATTCCAGACATGTCTCGTTGGAGCTGGTCCTGATGGGAAACACACTGCATTAGAAGCGGTTACCATAGTTCTTGATTTACCGCCACCACAGCCTGGGTCAATGTTGGGCCTTACATCAGTGGACAGGGTATCTGCATCTGATCCAAAGTCAGCTTTGGCATTGCAAAGATTAGTACAAGCAGAGTAAGCATCTTTTTAATCAGTAGATGCTTTATTTGTTCCTCTTCCAATTTATCCATCAAGTAACCTAAATTATTTTATTTATTGCTGAATAAATGTACTCTTAGGTATGGTTTCTTGGAGAGAATGCAAACTATGCTGCTTCTGATTATGCCTGGGAATCTGCAACTCCTCCTGGTACTGCATTGATGATGCTAGATACAGATAAAATGGTTGCTGCTGCCAGCTCTCGTAACCCTACTCTAGCTGGTGCACTGACTAGGCTGCAAAGATGCGCGTTTAGTGGCAGCTGGGAGGTATTAGCTTCCACCTCAGTATCGGCTATTTATCGTTTCAACACAAGTTTCCAACCTGCCTTTACTAGCATAGGTCTCCCAGTGTTAAGGGTTATAATGATCTATTCAGGGATGATTTCTAAAGCATTGGGACAATGGTAATGGTAGTTAGAACATTGTTATACCTTTCCTGTTGGTGGTTCTAGGACTATGAAGCTCCAATTAACCAATTTTGCATAGAATATTTTTTCTTCCTTATACCATATTTTTGGTTCTTTCACACTTGTTTCTTTGTACAAACAAATTTGTTGACATGTGAACTCACCCTCTACTTATTTGGGAAAGGGCAATGGCTTTTCGCCCAGCGACTCTAGGAATCTATACACATGAACACACAAATTTGTTAACTGTGAACTCACCCTCTACTTGTTTGTTCCTCTTATATGTTGTTCTTTCCATTGGGCTCTCCAGGTTCGTATTATTGCTGCTCAAGCACTTGCAACTATGGCAATAAGGTCTGGTGAACCTTTTAGGCTACAGATCTATGAATTTTTACACATGTTAGCACAGGGGGGAGTGCAGTCTCAGTTTTCTGAGATGCATCTCAGTAATGGGGAAGATCAAGGAGCTAGTGGCACAGGCCTTGGAGTTCTAATAAATCCCATGATAGAGGTTCTTGATGAAATGAATAGAGCACAAGATGATTTGATCAAGTAAGTGATACAAAATTGTCTTGAAATGTGTCATATTTGTTTAAGTTATTCACGTTAGTTTGTTTTGTGGACAGGGAAATACGCAACCATGACAATGCTAAGAAGGAATGAACAGATGAAGAACTTAAGAAACTATATGGAACTCATGAAAGGTTGCTTGATCTTGTTTTGCTGTTCCGTTACGTCCCAAGAGCAAAGTATCTGCATTTGGGGCCAATAAGGTACAGATTCGTTTACACTGCCACAGCCAGGTGTTGTATTTGAGAGAATAAGAGATGTGATTTTTTTGGTGTGTGTAAAAATTGTTATGAAATGTGGAGATGCAATTTCCCAGTTCCTTTAGCAAATGTCTGCCTTTTGTTATTTCTGCCTACAAATCATATTAATGAAGGATTGACTATGTCAATATCGTTGGTCTAAAATATTATGAGATGATTCATACATACTAGAACTCTATTTCCAGTTGAATGGCAAGTGAGATTTCTTGTTAACATGGGTTTTACCTTTGTTTTTTCTCTGCATTTCTTATTTAATTCTCCTTCATAATCTTATGACAGTGCAAAACTGATCGACATGTACCACACACGGCACAATATTAGTGCATCAACCGGTCTGAGTGATCCAGCTGTTGCTATTGGAATTTCTGATGATCTTATTTATGAATCTAAACCAGCAGCTGAAGAGTCTGACATGCTTGATGATGACCTTGTAAATGCTTGGGCAGCAAACCTTGGTGATGATGGACTGCTAGGAAATAATGCACCGGCAATGAGAAGGGTAACAAGTTAATTGATTTAACATTAGAGTTTAACTTTCGGTTTGTTTGTAGAAGTATGAACCTAAAAACAGAACACTATCACCCTGAAATTATTTTTAAATACATTTAGTCCTGACTGATATTTAGACATTTATCAACATCTTACCCTCTTATGTTTCTATACAAAAGCTGAATTTGAAAATGAACAGTAATTATATAATTCCGATTGACAGATCTATAAACATATTACTTTAAGTTCTTTCCCATGTTGTATCTTATAATCTAACTTTTAGGAGTTTGAGTGAGGGAATTTGTAGAATTTTCTGAATTTATGTCTTTAATTGTCAAATGCTGAATTTGACAATTAACAGTATTTGTAATTCAGATTTGAGAGATTATAAGTTTCTACCCTTGTTTATCATATATTGTTAGTTTCCTAGATCCGCTAGTTTTCCAAATTCTAGTAGGATTTCTACTTTTCCAGATTTCTAGTTTTAAGTTTCCTATTTTATTCGGGTTAGGAATTCTATTTAAGCAAAGGATTTTTATCATATTATTTCTAGGTTTAGTTTGCAATAAATACCCCCATATAGCTCTTTAAAATTCAGATTTGGATTTCGAGTAAACTTCTCTTAAACTATGTACATTTATGTCCTTCTCGGTTCTCTGATTTCAATATCTATATTTTTGTCTCCTCGACCTCTGATATTCTTCTCTATTCTATCGTTTAAGTGTTTAATCGAATACCTACAGGCTGTACTGCATCAACTTGTTTGTGAACATGTCTTGTAACTACCCGACAACTAAGTGAATGATCCTTTATTTTCTTTAAATCTGTAAATGAGAAGGCATCTATCATTAAATAACCACAACTTATAGTATATTACTGAACTGTTTCAACCTAAATATATGAAGTCCTTAAATAAATTTTGTAATGTAGGAGCTTTTGGTACGTCAATAATGGAAAGAATAATATGCATACGAATTCTTGAAAGATCTTGTTTGTGCATAAATTGACTATGAAAACATGTTGTTGACCCTTTTTTTTAATATTTTTTTAATAATTGAAAACCCTTAACTTTGGACTTTAAAGCTGTAGTTTTGAAAAATGTATAGACAAGCAATAATAGAAAAATGCAGCTAATGAAGACAGAGAGTATTTACGATTTGGAGAAACTTATAGCAACAACAAATACAGTCAGAATAATTTTAACATACAAAGGCTTTAGATTGTTGTTAAAAATTTGTGGTTTTTCCTTTTTGTAAAACTTTTGTAATTAAAAGAAATGTATTTTCCTTTTCTATAAAATTCCTATAAAATTTTTTAGATATAAATAATATATAAAATAAAGATTAAACAATAAAGTAAAATAAAG